GCGAAGACAGCGTCGCCGGCCCAGCCGCTAGGGAAGGAAGTCCCATCTCGTTAATTGATGTCTTCTGGTGGGTGAGGCGTGTAGTCGCCTCCATTCATCCGCTCTTCTCCCTCATATAGAGGCTATGGCCGCTAACTAAAGCAACTCCCGCTGTCGCGCCGTCCAAACCGAGTGTGTGGTTGGGGGGGAGCCTGGCGAGGGAAGGTGGCGTCGCCTAGGTCAAGTGTCGCGGAGGAGCAGGACGCGACGGGCGGCGGAGAGACGCTGGCCGGGGTTCGTGCTCTGCAGCTTTGCGCCCCTGCTGTCTCAGCGCGCAGCTCAGGTGGGCCGCTGGCGTCAGGCCGTCTGGTGGGTGCGGCGCGCCTCGCCTTGCCTCCACTCGTCGCCCGGGGCATGCGCCAGCGCCCGTTATTCGCTGTCGCCTCTTAGTCACGCCGCTATCATTTCTTTTTATTCTTTCAGAATATTGTTAACACCAATAATTTTTTTCTATAAAAACAGACGTGTTCCAAAAAGCATTTTTTAACTCATAACAATTTCTTTACTTTTAATCAGTGTAAAAACCCATTGTTTAATTCTTTCACTAATTTCATAAATTTGCTAATAATCAAGTTGAAATATTATTTTTGTTTTTATTCTATTTAAAGCGAAGAAAATATGGTTATCTGTGAAACCAATGCTTTAAAGGCGCGTTTATAAAGAATCCCTCAATCTCAAATATTTATTCACTGCGTAGGTGATATAAAGAATAAAGAATTACGTACTCCCACTGGATACTGGCTGCAATATTTTATGTCGGAGTTTGCATTGCCCTTTCACGTTAAAACGTTAAAACGCAACTTTCACTGATGTGAACGTGAATAAACGAACAAAACGTATAACAAAAGAATAAATGATTGAAAGAATGATTTCCGATTAAAGCATCCCTGATGTGAAGATTCACATGTACAGCCTCGGAACCCATATCGCTGTTCGCCATAAACTGTCGATGATGAGATGTCGAAGACACACAGCATAAAGAGAATGGGGAGCTGCAGGGAGACAAATGACAAATGTCAATGGACCGCGCGTGGCGGCCGGGGCGAGGGCGGGCGAAGTTGGCCGCGAGCGCGACTCGGCACAGGCACAGGCACAGGCCGGGTGCACCGCAAACCTGCGTAGCCTAGCTGCGGTTAGCTCTGCCGGCCTGGCCTAACAGCAGGGAAGGAAGGATTACTGCTCCTAACTACGGCAGGTCAGCCATAAAAAGACAGTTAATTGGTGCGATACAAGGGGAGCTGGTGCCCTGCTCGCCGGCGGGAAGGGAGACGTGTCGACCGTCCAGTTTACACATGGCTAATAAACACATCTTGGGTAATCCAGACTCATTAGTTTGCGTATAAATCGTTTACTAATGCGAGTTAGCCTACCAGCTTGTCCTATGGCGATCTCCGACAACCTTGGCACCGGCGACGTGCCCAGTGGCGCGTCCTGCCGGGGGAAAGTGGCCCGTTGCCGCAGCGCGTTGCCGGGGGGTGACGGTTGGGGCCGTTGTAAGAGCCGTTCACCACTTCTTTAATACGAGGATCGTCCCCCTCTGGACGTGGCCGAGGAAGTCTGGACTCTTAGTGATACACACAATACAAGTAGCGCATCGTCTTCTCTGCTGAAGAACTAGATGCTCCTCGGATAGCTCTCACACAAATGTGCTTCAGCTGCAACTTCCGCCAAACGTTGTGCTCATGCATTTTGCTAGCAGTAATTCTGAGTAAATCGAAGAAGTAAGGAGCAGGTCAAACGTCAGTAGCAAGGAAGGCATCGCACCCAGAGAACGAAGGGAGAGCAGCGCGCGGTCAGTGCCGCGTGACGGCGCCACTGTTCCGAGAAGGGCGCATGCGCGGGGGTGCGCAGCGCTGACGGGGCGTCGAAGCGAGGGTGGGGGCGCGGGAGCGCGGCCGGCTGGGCCGAGTGGCTGCCGTGCGGGCGTGTAGGATGGCACAAGAATGCTCGCTCTCATCACGTGATGTTTGTGGCGAGGCGGCCACAGGTGGCCGCGCAGTCGGCCGGGGCGCTGGGCGCGCGCGCGGTGTTTTGGGAAAAGCGTTGGCGGCGAGTGGTGCGCTAAGGCATTCCGCGCTCTGCCGCGTCAGGTGGAGCGCTTCCGTCGCGCTGACACCGGGAGCTTCGTTCGCGCCCCGCTGCCGCCAACGGCTCGCGTACAAATAACGCCGCAAATGACGTGCGCGCTGCGCAACTGGAATTGTACCCCAACAGAAGTGAAGCTTTCCATTTTGTAGCGCAGAATACTAGCAGGTACAAAATAAATTAAATAATAGCAATGCAATTTTGCGTATATTGTTAATTTGTGACTTACATCGATATTTTTACAAAAAGGTAAGAAAACTCTTTACCTTTCAAGACATTATCTCATAGGATTCGGCAGACGTTATTATCTGGATGACACATTATTTCAATGGTAGCTCCATATTGAACACATTCTCGCTGCCTTATATCATACTGAAACTGAACCGCTTGTCGAAGGATCAATATCTCTGAGATTAGACAATCCCTTAATAAGAGTCCCATTGGCTATCGACAGTTCGGTAGTTTCGCACCCGTGTTAGAATTCACGGTAGAAGCTGTACACAACACTCCATTTCGCAGCATGGTGCCATTAAAGTATATCTCACCAACAACACGTTTTATTTATTTTAATTGCGTCGGAATGTGACATTGTTGTAATTTAGTAATAAATTAACCTCGTGCGATTTTGCAAGGAGAGGTATTATTGAAGCTGAGAGCAAAAGGTACTGAAGATAAAGTTACCTCTCAGGAGATCTGCAACAAGTATTTTACATGTCGCAAACACGATACTTGTAAATCAAATCGCATGATTACGATATTTTCCTTATTACGTCCGATTTCTTTGTAGCATCTTTCGTATCTTCATCGTTATGTTCGATTACAGTTATTGCCAGAAACCTAAAATATATTTCAAAATAGCGACAAAATTAACTTTTTTTTAGTTATTTCAACTGTTCATATGAATTAATATTTTAGCACTAACAATATTTTGTCTTGCAGTACATTTAATATATTTTCATACATTTCTTCACCAATTCGCTTGTTCGAACATTTTTAGTTCAAATAGTATCCAAGTAGCACCGTCTGACGTGGCTTGATTTAGCAAGCCATTAAGCATTAACAACATTAACAACTAGAAGAAGAAAAAGAATTATAGAATTCGTGTATAAAACTGAAAATGACATTAAGTGCGCAACCACATTTTTTGTGGGTGGAGGGGATGAGGTATAGGGAGTGAGGTCTGTCGGACATAATAGTTTCTTATAATGATTTTTTCATTTATACTGAATTCGAAATTCATTTTTGTTTATTTATTATTTACAACATATTCAATTGAGATATTTAATGACTTTGGTTGCTGTGGAAAATTAGTATAAACTGTATACGTGATTATTACGCGATTATTCTGGACGGGGGAGCTGAAAAGCCCTATGAGCCCCATAAGGGTGCTCAGGAGCAAACCAAAATTATTTTTCGGTGTTGTTTCACCGAACGACACTTTTCACATCGGCACCTAAAAAAATTGCATATGTTCTTAATTGTTTGACTCCCATAAAAATAGAAAAGAATAGAATTGAAATTTGATAATATTAGAGAAAAACATTTTCCTAAGCAAATTTTTATTCAACAATTTGAAGCCGTTCTTGAGAAAATGTCGTTTGAGCGATTTTGAGTACATGTTCACTGAAACGTTTTGACTTTTGCAGAAACTTCATCAGAAATCATTTGAAGCACTTGTACTCGCAAATGCAAGAAAATATAAATAATGCTTAAATTTGTGTAGTTTAAAAAAATCAAAAGTTATTAATACAGAATTAGTACATTATTTGGCGCACAACGTTTTTTTGTATTTACGGCTTTAAATTTTGATAAAATAATGACAAATCTACATTTATCTATTTCTTCCAGAGTTTTTTGGAGGTTTAGAATACATGATTATTCCAATAATTTTCATCCATGTAATGCGATGTAAATTTAATTTCATTTGCGAAGGGCTTGGACATTTTCGAATAATATTGTATTAAATCGATATGAATTGATGCGGTCGGAACAAAATAGTTTTAAGTCTCATTTCTGTAATTTTGTGAATGAATGTATGAATGCATTACTTGGACCTTAATCGGCCAATGTTGCCATCAGATACATGGCGTTTTTCGTAACATTTTCGAAGAATTTCGTTGCAACACTACTGACCTTTTTTTGTTGCAATCGATCAAAATTCCTTTGTCTATATCTGCTCGAAGTTTACAACACAAGCGGGTACGTGCGGAGCACACGGAAGTGTCACACACCTGATTCCGAATAGATGAAATCTCCATTATATTATCTTCTCATCAAATAAACACAATTCTCATCATCTGCTGAAGATAGTGGGGAATAAACACGTTTCTCTTAATCGTTCTACACTAACTTCATCGTGCTAATTCTTCCTCAATTAAATGTCGTTAAAATGTTGCGTGGAATCACATGGAAATGGCAGGGACAGAATTTAACAAAGCGTAACATAACGGAATGCTTGCGAGTAAAACGAGGATGTTTTATGCGATCCAGAGACCTTTTAAACTCCACCGTAATTTGAAAGAACATGACGGAAAGAAGCCTGCAACTTATCCGCACCTGCAGAGAGTCAGCCAACGTTCGCGATTCACATGATTATCTTTATGCATTCCCATGTCTACTTCTTGGAACGAAAAGTTATATAATGCTGTACGAAAAGTGCTGATTTTTTGACAGAAAAACACGTGTTCTGGGCCCTTGATACCAAAACTTGAATTCATTGTTCGTATAAATAGTTATTTTCTTTCTAGAATACGTACTGCAGTCAGGATCAACGGTTTGTGTGTCCTTGATACCGAAAAAGCATTGTTTTCTCAAAACGTCTATCTGTCTGTCTGTCTGTCTGTCTGCCGTCCGTCCGTCCGTCCGTCCGTCTGACCGTCCTCCGTTCGTACGTACGTATGTACGCAGGCACGCACCCACGTTCTGTGAGTGAGTGTGAAGAAGAGAACTAGCACCTAAATCAAATATAGGAGTATCACCGAAATTGACATTTCGCTATCAATCTGCCAAACATACGGGCATTCCCTGTAGTACTTTGTTTAAAGCTCCTACAGCAATTTCGCATAAAAGATTTTGGAGCAAACTAAGCGAATAAAAATTGAGGTGGTCTGATTTTCATTAACCTTTTAAATTTTCGAAAGCAGCAAAACATTTTTTTTTTCACGTCCTCCTATAACTTCAATACACATAGTAGAGTTCTTTTTTTATGAAATCTATTCTTTAATTGTAGACATTTATTTGGGTCAAGTAGCCATTTTTTGGAACGAGTAATCTTCGAATAATTTTGAATGAAATCACGACCAATAAAAAAACCTAAATAAGATTTCCCCAAAAAGTCTTCAATTTCGTTTTTAAATTATTTGCGTGAATAAAGTTAAATTCACTTATTCATATAACATAGGCCCTATTTTCATTAAAAACCTTTGCAATTTTGAACATAGCCAAAGTTCATTTTTACTTTCCCCTATACATACGTATATACGGAGTAATTTACGTAGTATAGGAAAAGATATGTAATGCTGTTCAAAATCTATTTCGAGATTTCAACGAAATGCACATTTTGGCGCCCCATGATACCTAAAAAGTGTTATTTCTTTCAAAACGTCCGTTCGTCCGTCTGTCCGTCTGGTGTATCTGAACAACATTAGCGACAAAACCATGCGTAGGATTTTTCCAAATTGAAGAAACCCCTGTCCATTTGCCCTGAGTGGAAGCTCTGCGATTCTGAAAATCATTCATTAGTTTTTGATGCTATTGTGACGTAGTGAAATGAGAAATAATTTCAAATAACAAAATAAAAATAGTATATTGAAAAGATTATGAACAAGTTACAATAAATTGCTAATATTAAACACTCCGGCAACCTTTTCCTTCCAGTACCCTGCTTTACCGCAGAAAAAATAAAAGCCACGCGTGATGCGAGCTGTCGGACTTCCGTCCCGTGACAATTACCGTCACACGGCCTGACGCCAAAATTTAAACCGGCCGTGGCGACCGTGTGCCTACAGCACGCGAGATCGTCTGGCCCTTACTCTCCGGACTTGTCGCCTACACTCCTACACTCCTTGTATTTACACGTACAACGCTCCCCGATGTAAAAACTGAATGAGAACGCGGGTGCAGATGGCGCCGCGTTATATAGTTGAGGCTGACCCCCCCACCACCAACACCACCACCACTGTTCCATAGATAGGCTCGCTTGCTGTCGGCAAGCGAGGGCTCGCTGGCCAGCATCTTGGTTTACGCCCCCACACACAAAATTTCCAGGTTGGCTCACCTGCTGTCGGTAAGCGAGGGCTCGCTGGCTAGCATCCTCGGAGCTTACAGCCTACGGTTATTTTTGGCTCTGCAGCTCTACCTGAGTCAACCGCCAGAGCGCAAACTCCCGGAAGTTCAGGCTCAACCCCTTCCTCCTTCGCAGCGCACTTTCACCGACCTAACGGTTCTGGCCCTCGTGTTAACGACGCCACACTATTTACATGAAGCCCCTGAGACATATTCAAACGTACTCAAAAATGGCTCAATTTTTTTTTCTTGAAATGTCTTTTAAGAATATAGTAAAATACACTTATAAAGATGCCATAGATCCAAATTTCAGGTTAATTATAAATTTTCGAATTTTTCTGAAGTTAGAATATTTGTCGGTGTCTTCCTACAACTACAAAATTAAAAATAGAGATTTTTCCTTGAAATTTGTTGTCTGTAATTTGTTCTTTCATTAAAGTCATGTATATTTTTCAAAATTTTAGTAGTTTTCGCGTAATGTTGCGTACAATTGATGCAATTTTAAAAAATTACAAAAACAGGACTTTCTCAAAAAGACTCCAATATTTTTCTTTAAACATTTGGTAGGGATTGTACTAAATGCCTTCTATAAGATGACATAAACGCCATATTGCTCTATTCTCTTGTTTTTTCAAAAATTACAGAAATGTAATTTTTTACTTGTCTCTCAAGTCATTAATATTTACATTAGCAGCAACTTGTTCACATTATTATATTAATGAGTACATGTGAATTAAATAATGTTATATAAAGTTTATCGAAAACACAACCATTTTTTGTTAAACCCGGCTCAAAATTTCACATTTTCAGAAACGTTCAAATGCCATTTTCTCAAAAGCGGCTTTTGCATCAAACTTTTCGAAAGGGAAGTTCTGATTGCACTTTCTAATATGACGCAAAGTTGATTTCGAGTTCTTTTTTCTTTTCTTTTTTTGTATTTTCAAAGATTTCACTAAGGTAGAAGATTTTGGAAGATTTCTCACACCGGTAATATGCACATGTCCAATAATTTGTAAACGCTATTGCATTTGTGAGTTAAAGTACTTCAAATAATCGTTTTCAAAAACTCAGAAATTTTCTGTGAGAGCTTCAAATTTTGAATTTACTGTTGCACTTAAGCGCCATTTTGTTAAAAATGGTTCCAAACATTTCAAAGAAAATTTCAATTTAAGACGAGGTTTTAGTGTTCTTTAACATTCTTCATATAAATTTTCGGTTCTACTATTAGAAAACCGAAAAATTAAGAAAATTTCAAAAAAATGTATTTTGGGTGGCGATAGATAGTAGCAGACACGAGTATGTGGCAAGTTCGAATAGCTAGCTGAGACAAAATGAAACAGAAAACTAGTTGGGGGAAAGTCTGTCCATTCTGTAGCACCTCAAGTTTAACTTATACTGGCCGTGAGGATGAGGGTGTAGTACACTACCTTACCGTTATGGAGGTCAGGATACCGTTCTCGCCATTCTCGGAACATTTTTTACTTAAAGTAAATTGTGCTTATAGTTATGATATAAGTACGATTTTTATTAATAGCTGTGAAGAGTTGAATAGCGATTATGTTCGTTCTTTTTTAAGACACGTGAGCTATTCAAAAATATAATTCAAGATTTAATGTCTGTGTCATCCATTTGATGGATTTGTGGCAAATCAACTATGATGACATATTATTAATATAAGTCATAAAAATGTATTCATTTTCAAAGTTCTTTATTACTTGCTTGAAAAACACTATTTACTTTCACGCCCTTACTTCTTAAGAAGAGAAAGTATTGTAATCGTGCGCCGGAAAACAGAATTTTAGACACAAAAACTCTTATTGCTGGGCCCTGGTAACGACAAAATAGATAAATCTTGTTCATACACATAGTCCTCTAACACGTCTTGTTGTCAGATTCCATGTTTTGTGGATACTTCATTGCAAACATCGATTGACGGCAAACCGTACCCCTGCCTGTCTGCCCGTCTGTCTGTGGCTAATGCTAGTGTCAAAATCGTTCACCGACTTTCTCCAAGGAATAACAATTCCTTGATAGATTTCAAGGAACACGATGCCCTCTGAGTTTCAAACGGATATTTTGATTTTCAGAAGTATTTTACATGAAGTATCAACATTTTCAACATTTTCTCAAAAGTGGATACATATTTTTGTATTCAGTTTTGTCCTTCTAAAGCGTAAAGGTTCCTTAAAAGAATAGCGAATGTCTCATTTTTATTGAAATCCCTAATTTCCCGAAAATTACAAAAGTTCATTTTTTTTTCTGCGTCTTTTTGCAATTTTAACATTAAAGATAGAGATAAATGAAATCTGTTTTTGAGAGACATATCTTGAAAAAAGATCATGAACAATTTTTTGAAAATATAACTAGTTCTTGCAAAATTTTGCTTCAAATATAGACAATTTTTAAAACCTTTCTTCTCGAAAACGGCTGTAGTTTTTTTTCTTCAAATTTCCTCCAGGTATGTAATGGTAAAACAATGATAATATTATTTTTGGAAAACTCTGTATTATCAAAAATTGCCAAAAAGTTAATATTGCAAAAGTAAATTATTGAAAGGGAGATTTGAATGAATGTTCGAAAAAAATAGGATAGTTTTCACTATTTTCTGCTTAACGTTAATGCGCATTATAAAAAGGTCATTTTCACAAAGACGCTCCAAATTTGTTTATTTTTTCTAGAGACAGAACAAGGGGCGCTTAAAAGAATGGCGTAGGTCTCATTTTCATTGAACTCTGAATTTTCAAAAATTGCAAATTTCGAAATAATGCGTGAATGTATTTGCTATAGTAGCACCACTTTCATCAATATAACTTGTTTCCGGAAAAAAGAAATGACATTTCAATGTTCTCTAGAAAGGCACGCTAATTTTGCTATGTCATTCAAGCCTACAGAACAGCACTTCGAAGATTTTCCAGTTGTCTGCTACAATACTAACACACCACTCCGGTTCCGTTTCGTTGCCGCCTTCTACACATTGACTTTCCTTTAGAAGCAGATATTTAATAGCAGAGCAGCAAACCACTTTCGAATTCGAACAGACTAAAAAAGGGCAAAGGGCACAGTTATTCATTGCTTTCATTGAAGGCTCCCGGATGTAAAGAAGATTGACTTCACTCTTAACACTTATCTTTTAACATTTCAGAGATCGATGTGTTGAATGAGAGATATTACACTTGATTTACGTCACTTCGGTGTCCATATTTATGTCCGGAGGACGTTGTGAGAACCACATTCCAACGTATAGCATTTAATGTGCGTTCTTAATGCCTCTGCAACGCGTAACATGTGTTGATGTCGCCTGATCATCGGAAAAGAAGTATCAAAGGCATTCCTGAAATTGCACGCGACGGGTCGAGAAGATGGAACAGATGTAGTTGTTGAGAAGACCGTCTCATTACGAATGCGGGCGTGTTTGTAGGTTCAGCGTCCCGATCACAGCCCGTCGCTCCCAGAACCTCCCCTTGCCCTCCCCTTGCCCCCCCCCTCGGCCCCAGTGATGCCAAGAGAGAGGCTGAATGGTCGTGGGGAAAGAGGTGCGCCGCATCCTGGTTCCTCTTTCGGGCCGGAAGCCGTCACGTTTCTGTGGAAATCTCAGCTACTCTGGCTATTGTCGCACCGCGCTCTGCTTATCCATCAGTTAGTTTCTATCGGGTGAATGGCACGGGCTCATCACAATAGCATTAGCGAGCGCCTACTCATGTTATGTCAGCATGACCAAGCCAATACCACTGGGGCTCCAGGATGGTGTAATCGCTTTGTTTATCATATGGTAATGCTTCACCGGTCATAGATTTTCTGTCCAGTGACATCACATCTTTGTCACGCGGCGCTGGAACAAGTGGCTCCGGCAGAAGCCCGCCGGCGGCGGGGGCAGGTAGGCCTGGCTGCTCGGTGGCCCAGCGCCCGCCCACTGTCCGCCGCTGCTGCCCCTTCGCTCTCCCCTCAGCCCGCCCCACGAAAACCAACCACTTCCCCGCACATCTTCATCTCTCCATGTTTCTATTTAATCCCTGCGTAACAAATGCCACACTTTTCTCATCACCTTGTTTCCACTATCACCTAGTTCTGGATCAACGCCTGCGGAGGAACGAATCGATGCTCGTACAGTCTTGAGGATGTCCTGACATTCTCGGAACATCAGGGTGAGGCACATGAAGCAAATGCCGGCGTTGTTTAAATCGATAAGGATCGACGAGACTGGCTTGTGAGAACTTCAAAACGAAGATATTGCTATATGAGGCCGAGATTCTTGTTTTGTTTCCGGGAGAAAACACAATGAAGCGAGACGATCTGCGTGAGTAAGCGTGTTGGCCGTCGGGCCGGTCGGTTCTTGTTTGGAAGAGGATTCATAGGCCATCAAGGACGGGGGCGA